GCATAATCCTCACATTCCCAGACTGACTCTAGTCAGGATTTAAAAATGTATACGGGGGCAGCTGGAGTAGTTTCCGTTCCACTTTATTTAAGCTCTACCTCTTAGCCTGCCACAGACTTGGCAGACAAATGCCAACCTTCTTCATCTCCAGTAGAAATGACTGAATCAAAACACTGATATTGATTTTAGGATGATTTAGTACCCCTGTGTTGGGACGAGGTCTATGAATTCTTTTATTCATGTCTCTACAGTAACAATTTAAATTGGCAAGGATACACAATTCTTCCGACTTCATCTCCAATTCATATTAACAGAATAGCCCTTCTTTTCATTAGCTTTATAGCTGTAAATGAATGATTCAGTATGGGCCGTGTGCTTTGTTGATGGCATCAGGCCATTCGATCCTGTATTAATGGCATACCTTTTTTTCTCTACACATGACGCTTTCTTTACTTGTTTGCTTTGAAGCATTTAACGTACCTTGGCCTCAAGTTTCTTTATCGGTAGTGTAATTGTATTTCAGGGGAACAATTTACACAGATCTATGGCAACAGACCTGTAATTGCCCGTAGGAATAGGAACTGGCAACAACCAGACAGACAGACAGATCCTGAGACTGTGCAAGAGAACTGCCAGTCCAAATCAGACTTAATACAGATTATCTGTACTTAATGATTCAGATTTCTTTTTTACTGCGCTAGAAGTTTATGTGTACAAAGAAGGCAGGACAGGGATGCACTCATTAGAATATTAATGTATGTGTGGCAGCATTTCAGTTTAACTAAAGAGAATGCTGCAAGACAATTACCAACATAAATATCCACATAGTAGCAACATTCAGAAATGATATTGCTATCTACGATTGTATTGGACTTAATGGAACAGATTTGTTTATGTGAGGAAATGTAGCCTCAGGTTCTTGTCAGGTTGGAATGCAAGCAACAAGACAAATGTAAAGCCAAATTTCATTTTCGTTTGATTGTATTTGTGTTTGTGGACTCTAAGTACATTAAAGAGCACATGAATACAGTTGTAAATCCATCAACTAGTGAATCCAGAACTAAATAATATTAAGCAGACTGAAAAATTTGATAACAGAATTGAACACTGAAACAGATTTTGAGAATGCTGTGATTTCTATAATAAGATTCACCTACCATAGATGCCTAGAGCATGTGTAGATTTAACTTTACTGGTAGAGACAAATACTCCAATATGTGTGGAGTCAAAGGGTTATCCTTCTTAGAAAACTCTTGTATCCTACATCTTCTGACCTAACTGCAAACCTTAAGGTAGTAAACACATTTTCTCACTTCTTGGTTTCTGTAAAAAAGAAATACCTAATTTAGGTTGTTTTTCTTTATTCCCATTTTCCCCTACTTTCTAATATTCAAGACTGAGAAGAGCTTGGTCTTTTATATGTTCAGAAATTAACTCCTTAAGTCAGTGCTTCGTGTTTTGGGGAATGGAGGTACTAATTAGGAGTATTTTGAATTTATACTGTTGAAAACCTGACTCTTTTTTATTTCTGTGGTCAGCCTTGGTGTTATAGTTCTACATATATATGCCATGTTGTCTGTTCAAAAAGAGTTCAAAACAAAATAAGAATAAAAACATGCAGATGATGACCTTGTCTTCAGATAGACAGCCTAAATACATCTGGTTTCTAGCATTAACCTTTGGAATTTATACGTCAGCAAGAAAAACTCAATTTGAGGAACTGAAAGTCATGTGCACAAACACAGATTGGAGTTTAGGACATAGAGAATCAACACAGAGCCTTTCAGTTTCTAAGAATGAATTAGATTCTCTGTGTCAAATTTCTATATCATTTCTGATAATAATGAATCCCCACAAAACATAATGTAACAAAAGCAATGAGAGTTAAAAAAAAAAAAAAATTCAAATTGTAATCATTCTTTATATATCAGGGATAATGTTGAAAAGGAAAAAAAAAATCAATCAACCGATAATTCCTTACGCTTTTCACTATCTGTTCCTTGAATTCTTCACATGGTATCTCTTGAATTGCCATTTAAAAAAATTACAACTTTTGGCTTTACAGCTACTGAATAAAATGGCCAGCTAGCACCAGTCAGTGGAAGAGTATCTTTTTTAGAAAATAAAAAGACGTATTTTTGTCTTCCCTCAATTAAAAGACTGAGATCTTACTCAGCCATGGTTGAAGATTTGTGATAATGAAAGCAAAATACAAAGGCTTCTCCAAAGCAGTGCTTCTTGTTTTGTTACATTGGTCCAGAACATTGGAGGTTGGTGGTATGGCAGTAGAGGTTGAAACTTCCTGAACTTCCAGCCAATATTCTGTTACATGTTGTTGCCGTGTGACAGATTGCAGCAGAGAGGCAGTTTGATAGAATGGCATCTGACATGGAAAAACGTATGAAGCAAAGCTGTCTTAAGGAACATAACATGTGTAGAGTTTTGTGTTTGTCTGTAAAATCTGACTACACCAGCAGTAACGCTAAAAACAGAGCAAGCAAAGGTTATGCTCATTGATTTGCAGGTGTTCATAGTGTTATGAACTATTGCAAGAGGAACACACCTAAACGTTTACCAGACGTGGCAGAGAGGAAAATGACATTCACAATTAAGCTGGAAAAGGTGCTTGCTTGTGCTGTGTGTATGGTGGATATCATCTAGAAACTGATCAGTCCTGTTGATGAGCAGTGGTTCATGTTCAGTGACTGCTACAAGAAGGGAGGGAGAGCATAACTTTGCTTTCATCCTGTCTCTGCTAAATGATTGTATCCCTGTGGAAGAAAAAGCTAACAGCCACACTACTACCTGGTGTAAAGGTGAGCTTTCCATATGCTTCCTCTCTGCAAGACCCACTCCAGCTAAATTTCAGTTTAAGAAAGACTATTGTATTTCTTTGAATACTGAATCTTTAAAAACACTTTAATAATAGCAAAAAGTAATATGGCATGCTACCAGCAAAAATATATTAATCAATTTAAGAATAATAAAAAGTCATTCAACTGATGGAGAGTACCGGTTTGGAAAATTGAAAGGGTATATATTCTCCAGCTCCACTTTCATTTTGAATGCTAGCAGTGAGTCATGTTAATATCTGACTACTCCAGAGAAGTTACCGTGCTGGCTTATAAAAGCAATTACTGGGTACAGTCCTTCTAATCACAAAAAAAGTCTTGAGGCCAGTTTGTACTATAACAAGTATAACTCAACAGGATTGGATTTTGGGGGGTTGTTGGTTAAAAAGAAAAAATAAGTGAAAACCTGTTAGTTTAGGTAGAAACAGAAATTATTTGAGATGACAAGGGAAAGAGAGAACTTTATGACATAAACAAAAGACGTCATTCTATTTTCAGTTTAGACAAAAATTTTCTATTTCTCCAAAATAAATTTGCTTTTTTGTTCTGTTTTTCCTATTAAGATCAGTTTCCAAATGGGAAAGGACACTTCAAAATGCTTTTAATATGCTTCCCCTCCTCAAAATAAAAGGAAATATTTTAGCATATTTAAGTATTTCCCACCATATTTTTTAACTGATGTTACTTGCTGAATCCACCTTGAGTTTCCTGAAAGTTTTGGCTAGGGCACAGTTCAATTTTCCACTGACTTCTCCAGTCTTTTCAAAAATGTGCCCAACTTTGATCAGGCTTTCCCTCATGAGAAATAGATATGTCCATCTGACAACAGCTAATACAGAAAATGAGAGGTGTGTTACTGCAAGAAGTTGCATGAAATTCTTAGGCAATTAGGATGTTTAAGAGGGAAAAGTGTGTTGAGCTCAGGCTTGGCCTCTAGTTTTATGTCCGTATGATTTATGAAATTATTTGGAAATGAAATCTTGACAGAATGTATCGCAGGTATTAATACCTTCTATGATATATATGGTGTAGAGAGCTTATGTAATCACCAATATTGAACCATTCACATGGATAATATGCAGAGAGAGTCTTGAAGTCTGCTTTCCTGTCCTAGAGCCCTGTGGGCTTTAAACATCTTTGAATCGAGATTTTCCAGAGTGACTTGCAAAATGAAGTCCAATCTGTGATGCTTACAGAGATTTAACATCTTTCTTCAGATTATCTGCTTCACCTCATGTTTTACTTCTTGGATTCAGCTGTCAAAATTGCATTAATTTTTTTGCAATCAACAAAAATATGATTAAACATTTAATATAATAAAAATCATCAGCATATTAGAAAACCGTAGAGAAGTGAGAAGAAAAACTGGATAACTGTCATGGTTATCATGCTTGTTATTATCAACACTGTTTCACAACACTATGTTGATTTCAAATGGTGATTTAACATAAAGATATGTGGGTTTTAATATATTACTTGTGAAGATTCTTTCTTGTAAAGCAAGAATAAGATTATTTCATTTAGGCCCAAAGGGTGCTTTTTGTAAACAGGCTCCTCATTGAGGACTGTAGTTTTAACAGTGAAGAACCATGATAAGTTAATTGTGCCTGAAAATCCTGCTATGAGATAACATCTTGAATAATGAATTGTTTATGCAGGCAGAAGGAGGCAATTGCATCTGAAGGGGTATTGATCTTTCAGTTGTGTTAAGGATGCAGTGCTCTTAATTGGGCAATTTGTTTTTTTGTTTTGTCTTGGTTTCACTGTTTTATATTTTAGCAAGAAAGGTTACCATTTATTGAAGTTCTTACAGCAGTAATGAGATTGTCATTTAACCTAATTCTGTTTGTTCTACTGGTAGAAATGTTTTAATACTGCCATATTGATTTTGTTTAAAATAAAATGCTGCTTGTAACATCTCAGGCAGCTGCAAGAGTAGAAGCTCATTTTCAGCATGAAAAAAAAAAATACCTACAACTTGCTATTTTTCAGATACAAAGCAGTAGAACAAAAACATGAGAGGGATGAGAGTTTTTCTTTATTTTAAGAGTGAATTATACTGGAGGAAAGAGTGTAGTTGAAACGGTGGGAGGGAAGAGGGGAGATGTGTTTGATATTTGGGTGTTTCATGACTTTTCTTTCTGTAAGTTTCCTTACTATAGATGAAGCCCAGTGGGAGGATAGCAAACTCCAGGACTCTAGACTCTAAAAACTCAGCAGAGGTGATAGCTGACTGACTATTATTTGATGACAACTGCCTCTGTAGACTTCTTGGCAAGTTCCTCCCTGGAAGCCTTCCACCAGAGACTGTGAGTGCTCTCCATCGAACAGCCAGATAGCTCTCATGCTTTGTGAACTGTGAAAGCTGAACTTTATTCAGAGTATCTAAGAATGGAGCTCATGTCTTGGAAATCTATTTCTAAAGCTCTGTCTCTTCTAACCATTAGATACACTTTGATTAAATCAAGCCAACTTTATTTGCCTGATGAAATAACTTGGTCTCTGACATACAAGATAATGTTAATGAATATTGAACTGCTATTAAAATAATATCCAGGAAGAGAATCCTCTGTATGATCTAGTTAAGCTTAATGTTGTTTGACATTAGAGAGGAATGTGTTACAGATAAAGGACGTCACCTGAGGTGCATATAAAAGGGAAGGAAATGGGAAACTTTCAAGAAAATAAGTCACTGACAGAACAGACTCCCTGAAAGTTTGCTGCAATGAAATGTGCTGAGAGAGAGCTGAGAAAGAGTTGAGTTTGTCATATTATCCAAGTGGAGTATGTGCTTTCTACTGTCAGAACCTCTCTTCTGCAGAGCCTTACTATTTCCTCAAGTATGGATACATATTCTTCTCTGACAGCCATTGTGAAAATGATGATATAGTCCAGGCAGTACTTGAATTTCTATACAAAGTTATCCCAGACTAAATCATTCATACAGTACATATGAGTTGGAGCCCTGTTGGCTTTCTCTGCTCCATTTGCAGCTGTTTGTCCTAGAGAAAGGACAATATTGTCCGAGTCCAAGTTTTTGTTTTTTGTTTTTTGTTTTTTTTCCAAAATGAAAGAAGAGAAATATGTCTCTCATCTTGTCCAAGTAAATGTCTTCTGGAGGGTGAAGTGATGAGAAGAAGAAAGGTCATTATAGACATATCTTGTGTCTAAAGTAAAGGTTGGGATAGAATTTTGCCCTTGATTGATAAAAGAAAATTAAACATAGTTAAGAAGTTATATTAGAATTTAACTGGGCTTTGACCAAGTTCATGGGAGCTGGTATTTGAAAATATGATAGTGGTAAAGTTTCTGTACCCTCTAAACACTAGGCTGTGAAATAGCTAATCCTGTCCAGTTATCATGAGTATGTTGACATCTGTAAAACTTTGTCATATCTGACCAATTCCTGTTGGAGCCAACTCATTCTTGGTTTTGGCCAGGACTCAAAAATACCAGAAATCTCTCCTGTCCCTTCTACTTCCTGAGAAGCTGGGATACCTGTGCTTGAGGCCAGCTCTGGTGTTGGCATTTGCCTTCCATCAGCCATATATAATGCTGTGGCAGAAACTTGCCTTACTGACTTGATATCCTGGCTTAATACAAACATGGTGAGCACTTCTGACCAACCCACCCTGAGTGCTCTCACAAAAGTTGCCCAGCTCACCTCACTGGGGTGCTAGGATGGGCCTCAGCTGGCAAGGGCTCCCTTCCCAGATGAAGCAGCTGGCTCTTACTGTGCCCTGATGTTTTAACTGTAGGTTAAGTAGTTTGATGGACTACTATAATATGTTCCTATTTTGGGAAGTTGAATTCTTTTAATAACCTGGTCAAGGCAAGGGCTTGAAACACAGTCTTTCTCTGTAGACAATTTCATTCGTGTGTGTTCACGCATACATGCATTAGTCTGTACTACAAAGAAGAGAAATAATATACAGTGCTAGATAACTACGAGAAGTACTCCAGTCTTCATTAAAGAGTCGGGCAGGATGAGATAAAGAGTTGGGCAGGATGAGAAAGTTAATATGGCTAACACAGTAACAAGAAGGTGGGAAATAAAGACAGCAGGCAAAAGGGTTAGTAACTATTCATGTGATCTGAATCAAGCTGTCTATAGTAATCCATGAACTGAAACAATGACAGAAACTTTGTTTAATGAAAGCTAGGGAAAGCTTCAAATGCTTTTGACAAAAGAAAGGACAAAAATTGGGATCAGCAGTATGAAAAAGGAAAAAAGAGAAGAACTCAAGTAACAACCAACTTTCAAATCCTGGAAAAATTAAAAGGATAGTTTTAGAAATCAGGAAGACAAAAAGGAGAAATATGTAACAATACACAGTGGTATATTTTTCTTGACTGATGATAACAAATCAATTTCTTGCTGTAACATGAGAAAAAGAGTTGACATTTAATGAAATTTTTGAAATTGTATCTCATCTTATAGAAAAGGTAAGGGAGATACAGCCTAGCTGGTTCTCTCATAAAAGCAAATGTGAGAAAGTGTCCTTGGTCCCCCTTTTCATTCCTGAACTGATAGACCTATGCCAGTTGAACAATCACATCATCCAATACACCTTTGCTTTTTCCAGGGACAGAAGAAATCATCTGTCTTTTTATATCAGCAATTAGGATTACTGGGTGTCATTTTTCCCTTCAGTGTTCAAGAATCAATTACTTGAACACTATAAGCTGGTTGAAGCTGAAATTGTGGTCGTCAGAAGAAATGGTCACATTTTTCCTTTTTCCACCTTTCTCTCTTTTTTTCCTCCTTTTTCTCCATCCTATCAATTAAAAAGGTTTGATTTAACCTGGATCAGTTCCCTGATTAAGTCAGCTGCATGGCTGTAGAAATACTTGTGCCAGCATGACAGTAAAGGGTAGTAAACAGGTAAAGATAAAACTTTGCCTTATGTTACAGCTAATGTGAAACTGAGTTTAGCATAACACGTTTGCTGCCTGGCATGTCAGCTAAACAATTAAATGACACTGCACTATAAGTGACTTCCTTACTGTCATCTATTTCTCTTCCCCTCTCCCTATATCAGATGCAATTAGTTTAAGCTTCCCATGCCTAATACATTTTTTCCATTCTGTGTTAAATCACAATATCCTGTTTCTGCAGGTGCACATTCTTCTTTGCAACCATGGTTGTGTTCATGCTGGGGAATATTTTCTAAAAGCATGTGAATGCACTCACTGTAACTTTTCTGTACACAGTGACAAAAAAGAATACACTAAAAAGAATCATAAACAGATGAATTGAAAAATAGTGAAGTATGAATAGAGAAAGTTGAAAACTTGTGATGTTTGAAAAGTTCTTTAAACTCTTCCTGTTTTTGTTATCTCTATAAATGATATTAAAAGTAGAAAAGCTGAGTCACAATACGTAACAAAAGTCAAGTCCTATTTTAATAGTTGCAAAATGAATGGGTTAACGAAACTTCTAGATTTGTATTCAGTCTTCTGGTATGCAGAAAGTTGTAATTTTTTGCTACTGAATATATCATTTGAATATGTGATTGATTTAGGCTCATTCGTTGGGTTTTGGTTTGTTTTTTTTCATACCAAACCCTTCTTATACCCAACTCCTAGTGAAAACAGGCACTGGAAGCTAGAAAGTCAGGACAAATGTAGAAAAGCATACACAACAGAATTGTTTTATTTGAGGTAACAATATACAGGTCAAGAAGACACGGAAAGAAGAAGAAAAATGTTAAATGAATAAAGATGTCTGATGAGCAGTAGCCAAGACAGAACCCTTCAGAAAGAAATTTTTTTTTTTTTGCTTGAGACTTTTTATAGTGTAATGTAGGTTCAACTCTGCTTTGTGGATTTATTAGAATGAATGTGAGGTACTGTGGGAATGCAATTTTTAGTACCAAAAATCCATATCAGAGTTATAGACAACAACAATACCCAAACAAAGGAATTTTGCTTTACTTTTCCTTTCCATTTTGAGGTTGCAAAGGAAAAACAAGTAATCTAGCTTTCATATGAGGGAAATACTGTTTTTTTAACTCATAGTTTTGGGAGAAAAAGGTTTTCTGAAAGCACCAGAAAGAGAAATAACATTGTATCTTTGTCTTTTAGGTAGCATTTCATTATTTTCCCCATTTACAGTATGACTTAAGCAGATTTTATTTAACTGAGTGTACACAAATGAAACATTTCATTCTAAGCTGAGAAAAGTTTTTGTCTCAAGGTTCTGTATACTTTTTAGAAACCAAAAACATTGTGTGGTTAGCTTTTGAATCATTGAGGTTAAATACAAATAAGCAAGAAAGCCACATCAGATAAATGTTTATAGCCTAAATAAAAGAGTATAGGCAACAAAATGGAAAAACTTTAATTACTTGTGCCACATATAATCTACTAACAGAAATGCAACACTGTCAATCATGGCTGATGGACATCTGTTAGTACAGTATGTACTTCTATATTTATATGAACAAAAGTGCATTTGGCATCACAAGAGCTGGACAGGTTGCAACATTCTAAAATGATAGGAAAACTCTAAAAGAAAAGGAGAAGTAAAAGATTAAAAGAAAAAGGGGGCTGAAGTTGCTTCCTTGTGAATAACAAAATACTCTGCTGAAACTGAAGTCTTTTAAGAGACTGCTTAATTTTGGCTAAGATTTTAAGAGTCACTGTAATCTCATTATTGTGAGGTAGAGGTAAAAGCAGAGATTGTCACTACTGAAGGTGTAAGTTTGTTTCAGAAGTGTCCAAATATTTCCAAACTGAGAGGATCTTGTAATCCTGGATATGATAACTTCACCAAATAATCCCTAAATTTGAGTCTTAATTAGTCTTATTTTATACTTGGCTTCAGAAACAATTTTTATTTCATAAGAGGGTTAGTCATTTCAAGTAATCTGGATAAATTTTAATAGAAAGATAAACAGGGGAAAATCTGTGTTATAGGCTCCTGTTTGAAAAGGAAAGAAAAAAGCCAGCTAATTTTACTATGAGTAAATTCATCTATATGGAGGTAGTTTGGAGGTACATGTTGTTGAGGGGTTTTGTGGCATTTATATGCGGTTGTTTGTTGTTGTTTTTTTTTTCCAACTAATATATTAAAACTGTACAAAACTTTGTTTTATTTTTTCCAGAAAAAAAAGGAGGAAAGGTATTTTATGAGTCTTTGCACCTCTGGAAGAGTGTTAATGGATAAATATAAAGCTGACAAATGAAGGAAAAGCAACAGCAAGTACAGGTATGTTAATGTTAATCAAGGTTAATGGTTCATAAGTAAAATAGAATTCCTGAAAATAAAGCTGAGCTAGACATCATAAAGTCTTTTAAATTGGGAAAACAATACTTTCAGTTAGTAAATAAGAATAAACACAAAGAAAAATAAGGAAATTAGTGAGGTAACCATGTAGTGAAAAGAATGAAGAGAAGAAAGATAAACTAAATGCAGCCCTGAAATAGTATGAACACATTACCTTGGTTTTCAGTAGAAGTATTGGATATGAGAAGAAAAAAAAAAAGGGAAAGTTTGAAGAATTTGAAGAGATAGAAACAATCACAGATGAAACAGGAGGAAAATTTCTAGATCATGATGTACTTAGTTTGAGGGAATCTGCCTTCGAACCTTCAAGAATCCTTAAAGATCTTGCTTATGACATTATAAACCCAGTGGCAAAGCCCTGAGGACGCCAGCAGGCCTTGAATGGCTGTGGGCATCCTCACCTAGGACCTTCTCCCAGGTAGTCTCCTACTTATGAACCAGTCTAGAAGCCCCATTTCAGTTCAGAACTTCTGGCTTCACCTGAGCTACATTACAGATTTAATTTTAACTTAATTTTTTAAGTATATTTATTTTTCTTCTCCTTTACTCCTCAGTCCCTGACTGCTTTTATGAAACAGATTAACTCCGCTGTGTACTGGGTATCTCACAGAATTCAATTTCTCTGGAGATGTTCAAGACCTGCCTGGATGCCTACCTGTGCGACCTGCTATAGGGAACCTGCTTTGGCAGGGGAGTTGGACTCAATGATCTCTGGAGGTCCCTTCCAACCCCTACAATTCTGTGATTCTGTGATTCTGTGATTCAATCTCATTACCCTAGAATTGAGAGGAATGAGGGCAGCTTGGATTATTTTGTGAATTACGCAATATTTGAAAGGTAGACAATTCTGGTTTGCTCAATATAAGTGATTTCTTAACCACTGGTTTTACTGGATTGCAGTATTTGGGGATTTATGTCAGTAATATTGTCATTCAAGTTCAGTTTGCTTCAATATCTGTTCCTTTAGAGAATAAGAAATGGGATTTTCTTTCAGGTTCTGTACAATGGAAGCATATTTTATTTCATGTCTAAATGGAGTTATCCATTTGTAAATATAAATTAAAGGAAAAAACAAAGGTATAGTAAGAAAATAGAAGACACTTGGGAAGCGCTTTTAATACTTACTGCATTTCAGAGTCAGGGTAGCCTAGTTTATAGAGATGGTTTACATATAGAAACAAGTACCTCCCCATGCGGGGCTGTCAGGTTGGTAAGACACAGAGCAGTAAATCAGTAGAACTGCACCATATATGTACTAAAGCTGAAGAAGAAGCAGGATGGGGTCAATGTGTTGTCTTGACCGTATTGTTTTAATGATGTCAGAAGAGTCATTTTCCCTTGGGCCCACCTTGTCATTGGTCAAATCTGAAGATCTGACCTCTTTTAGAACACATCATTTCAGAAACATAGGGAATCTCACAATTCATTTCATGCTATTAACAGGTTCTCTTAAAATGACAGATCAGGTTCTCGAGAAATTAATTCCTAGAGCAGCATTACTCAAAATGAAACTAAGTTGTAAAAGATTCCCCTGAGGATCAGGATATCCAGACTATACATATAGCCAGACTATCAGGAATTCCAGACTATATTGTTTTAAGGACATATATATTTATTTTAAAAGGTAGAGGCAGGAAAGAAATATTTAATCTTATCTAGAAGAGGCTTGATACACTTAAAATAAGAGTAAACATCAGTATATTTGTCCATATCTGATGATGTGGAGAGCATATATTTCAGCATCGTCCAGATACGATGCATTAACAACCAGCAGTGCCCCGAGGGACTAGCAGAACACAGTTCCCTTCCCTGGGTCTCTGCTCAGTGCCATTCTCAAGCCCTAGGGCCGTCAGACCCTGCCCCAGCAGGACCTCAGAAGGGCTGATCTCCAGCTCCCATAACCCTGCCACAGTCCCTGCCAAGCTGGGGACACCTCCAGCCCTGCATTCCACCAGGGTCTCACTCAGCCCCGGGCCCACAGAGCTCTATGGTGCCCCTTCTGGAAGGCAGAACTCAGCAACATCATGGAGGTATTTGATTCCATGCTGGTGTTTATTCCTGGTTACAGTACTCACAAAGACACAATTGCTGAAAAAAATTATGAGTCAGATTGCTACCAATTGCTGATGGAATGCCAAAAGTTTATCTCTCTGGCAAACAAAAGCAGATTTTTTTCTATTGAAGCTGGTGATGGTATTTAAGGGAAGAATGAAAAAGATCTCCCAGAAAGATCCCCCTTCAGGATATCTGATATCCAGATTAAGATCTGAATTTTAGCATATTCAGTGGTGCTGACTTAGGGAATAAAAACTGTATCTCCCACGTAAGAATTGATGTTGGCCTAGAAGAGTGTTTAGATTCTTCCATGTTGCTGATTTTAAATCCTAACAGGGTGTCATTTGTTTGGGTCTGAGTGTGCTTTGTCCCCAGATCAGGTGTTGCTGACAGAAGGCTAGGAATTTGATAATCTTTACCAGAATTTTTTGCTTAAAAAGGAAAGCCTTGAAAGCAAATGACTGCCATTTGCTCCCTGCTGCTATTTGCTCATCTATTTTCAGTGCAGAAAAAGTATCTAACCATCTTCCTAATGAATGTAACTCATTCTTTCCATCCTGTGGTAGCTGTTAATTGGAGTATTTGCTGCACCTAAAGGAAGGCATCTGACAAAATTTTTGCGCAAGTGGACAAAATCATCTCCTACATTATTTTACATCTAGAGGATGGATGTTTTTTTACGTATTGTTATTATCTATTTATTTATTGTTGTAACTCCTCAGTTGTTTGAATAGTCTCTCCCTGCTGCCCAGTCAGTTTTACACAAGAAAGTCAACATGTAATTCCCTCAGTTTTAGAACACTTCAACCATTTGTTAACATGACTGGACATTAAAAGTTCATAAAGCAGATTACTGTAATTAACTTCAAAAGTTACAGTCCAAAAGTACATGGAAACACTGCATCAATCAAAACTAATGAAAGCAGCCATAAATATAAATGGGCCAGTGCTTGAGGTGACCTAATGTTACTCATGCATGTACTTTCTAACAGAGCATGTCCAGCTTCTTTCACTGGTATTGACTTCAGAGAATTGTAGCCATTTTGAAAGGTGTTCATTTATGTTACCTTGACAAATGAAGAATTATCATATTATTTTGAGGTTAAGTGAGCATAGTGAGCATGAGGGTTTTTTTAACTGAAAAAAGTACAATACTTTTCCGTAAAGAGAAGCAGAAAAACAGGTTAAGGAGAAGACCTTAACTCTCTCTGTTCCATTATGAACATTCTTTGCTTTGAATCAATTGATAGGAACTAAATTTGGAGGAAAGAATGTTAAATATGCTCTCATATAGGATGAGAACTTCATTCGTGATGGTGTACCAGGTTTTTTTCTTACACTGCGAAACAAAACATTTATGAAATGACTAAAAAATCAGGGATAATAGATTGGCATTGTAAAAAAAATTTAAATCCCTAGTTTTGAAAAATATATGCAGTATTCTATTGTGTGTTTTGTGTATAAACATACAGAAGTAGCTGTCTTTATGGAGATCTATTGTAAATTACATATTCCTGTAGTGTGAGATGAAAATGACAACAGAGTTAGGAGACTTTTTCCCTTATGATTTCCCCACAAGAATGTAAATAGTCCACTTGTACTTATTGCTCCATGCAGAAGTCTGATACAGAACTGTGTGCACTTGATTTTCCTTTCAAATATAGAAATATATCTGCATACTCAGATTTCAAAGGAGGAAAAAAAATGATCATTTGTGAACAGGAAGAAGGACCAAATAAGCAAAACTGTAGGATTATTAATTCTTGTAGAGCATCACACTTATACATCTCTGTAGTGATGTGACCGTTGAAAAATATTTTATAGGTTACAGATGTCCAAAATTGAGCATTCTACAGATATTTTATTAAGGATACCTGGGCATACACTGAGTCTGCCTTAATTTCAAATGATACTCTGTGGTTCTGGTCCCATACCAGATTCTGCTAGCAAGTTGTGGTCTGTTCTCTAGTGAGATACCTGGAACTATTGGTCATTAAGATAATCAAACAGGGAAATGAGGAAATTGTCCAAAATACCTCATGTAAAATACCTCAAAATGCCTCATGTATGTAAAATTGCAGTGTGTTTTTGACATTCAGTGTCTAAAATAGTGCCTTGGCTCTGAAGGCCTTAGAGTTTGAGAAGAACAATGGCATTATGATTATTTTACTGAGTTGGTTTGAGTATTCAGATTGCTACCAATTACTGATTTACCAATTACTGCCAAAGGTTTATCTCTCAGGCAAACAAAAGCAGATTTTTTTCTGCTGAAGCTGGTAATGCTATTCAAGGGAAGAACGAAGAAGATCCCCCAGAAAGATCTCCCCTCAGGATATCTGATATCCAGATTAGGGTCTGAATTTTAGCATATTCAGTGGTGCTGACTTTGGAAATAAAAACTGCAGAATTTATAGGATGGTCCACAAGACTGTATCAACAACAACTGAAAACAGAATATAGGAATGTGGATTTTTTCCAGGACCTTTCACTGTTTGAAAGCCCATCTTTATTTGAAAGAAAAAAGTGGGTAGGGAGATAATGGGGGCTGCACTGAAGTATTGTAGAACTTTACTACCTATTGTTGAAACTGAAATTATAAAGAAGGTAAATGCCTTCACCAATAGCTGATCCTGGCAATGTGAAGAACAGATTATATTGATTCCTAAGGTGTTTTGCAGTAACTGTCCTCTGTTTCGCCTCTACCACACCTAGTCCTGCTCTTCCCAACTGCAATATATACAAGAATAACATAGTAAAATGCCTGAAATTTCAATTTCTGCATTGTGACTGTAGCAGTTTGACAAAAAGTGTGAAACTTTTAGGAAGTCACAGGGAAAGGAAGTGAAACACACCTAA